CTTTCAGTACCATTTAGGTGATAGTTTGGCTCCAGAAAACTGAGGATATTTTTCTCTCCATAACAGTGCGCAGCAACGATTCACATTTGATGCACACAGGTCTAGCAGTCAGGGCACCCATCGCGTTGTGATCATTTTCTGAAAATTACGACCCCCCTAATTCCATACTAAAATACGACCCCCTTTTGGGAGTTGGTACGACCCCCCTCCCAGCCCTCTGTCCTTCCTCATCGAACCGAGCCGTCGAGCGGGGGGGGGGGTCGGTCGTCAGAATTAAACTATCATTTTCAAGTGTCGGAAATAGTAGTGCGTCCCTGGACTGACCAAATACGACCCCCCCCCCCCCCTTGTGATGATCACAACGATGGCGTACCCTGCTAGCAGTACAGCCGATGTATGAAATTAGTTCGATCTAAACATAGTCCACGTTGATCCTATAGGCGGAGTCAAACCATCTTCACCGATACGTTCCGTTTCCAAAGTGTCAAGAAGAAGGGGCGTACCAACGAGGAAAGGTTGATATGCATGGTGGAACGCCCACATAATCAGCGTGGCCTGTGTATTAGCCATAAACTTCGCATGAGCTGCAAATAAACTGACGCCAAGTTAGACTCCTTCTTGTCATTACTCTGATTCAGGCACAAATATCAAGAAATTGGAAACAACGGCAACATATGATCGGAAAACGCAGGAGTTCGTGCTTCACAGTCCTACACGAACGTCGATGAAATGGTAAGCTTTCACGCTGGGTGTTGAAAGGATGAAGAATTTAATCTTATTGTTAGCCCCTTGATTGACCCTTTTTTCGGATGGGGCACGCATTCTACTTCCATTCAGAATCGTAGTGGCTTATCGAATGCGATGTGGCCTGAACAAAGACTTGTGGGGGCCGACCGACGCACAAGTCAGGTTCCTTCCAAACCGATCTGGTATCATTCCACCTGCTCCGGAGGAGAGCGCAACATCATTTCTTAAAAACGCAGTAAACGGGGTCGTTAATGCTGGCGAGATGCTGCTTTTCCTCCTTTCGCTCCGAAACGTGGTCCGTATTATCGTAGATAGGAAGGGGGGACGTGCACTATATATCACCCCGTCCTAAGTTGACGGCGCCGCAAAACTACCACACAATCACTATTTTTCTGAATAGGTTGTGATATTTGTGAGTCCGTTCCTCCTCGAGGTGCCGCTGGAGACTGCCCATCCGCTAGGATGGTGCTGAGCTGAACGCGGACACCAGCGTCAGACCCTCGCGACAGGTCGGCTGGTAACATTGAGTCGCAACTATGGATCGAAGCACTACTTAATGAACAATGCTAGGGCGTACCCCGGAGGCGACGCGCGGTGGGTTCGCCCGACCACCGTGAAAATGGACGAGGGCTACCGGTTCAAGGGCGGAACTGGCTAAAGAAGATAGCCCGGATGAGACCGCTGCGCATTGCCACGCTTGAACATTGGCACACTCACAGGACGCAGCAGCGAACTAGCTGAAATGTTGAAAAGGCGCAGAGTGGACATCGCTTGCATTCAGGAGACGCGGTGGAAGGGACAAAAGTCCCGCGACATTGGCGAAGGTACAAGCTGAGCTACTATGGCGAGACCAACAGTAAAGGCGTGGCCATTGTCGTAAGTA